CATCATCATCATCATCATCATCATCATCATCATCACCATCATCGTCATCACTATCCTCTATGCCTATGTGGTACGTAGGGCTTACACCAAAGACTTCAAGAACTAGGCATCACGTGAGACAAACCCATACCAGAAACACACACGTACGTCATGAATATGTTAATGCGTTGTCTAGACATGATGTCACCAGGTGCAGGAATATTACGTGATTTATTTCAACCAATGATATGCTTGAATTTTGTAAAAATTTAGCAATTYTTTTCTTTTGCGCGCGCTTTTGTTTTTGCCATATATAATGCATCAGTTTCGCATACTAATGCATACCGCTGTTTTTGAAGACCACAGACTCATTTGCACAGGCTTAGCCTCGTTTATGAGTCAGCTATTCACAGATACCATTAAAAGTCCGTCCTTGGGATTTCAAAACATTGGTATTGTTCAAGCTACACATCTTTTACATTACAGTTGACTTTTGCAAATGATTTACTATTAAGCGAGGCTAAGCCTGTGCAGATGAGTCTTTAGTCATAAAACACAGCGGTATCTACCGAAAGCATGATAAAACAACCTCGTCCCCAATGCCCTCTCACGTTCAAAGTGAGAGGGCCCTGGAGACGAGGTTGATGATAAAAGGGACTATTCTCCTCTAGTCTCAAACCCTGTTTTTTTCCTTCTAAACCGGGATCCCTGTAGAAATTGAAATGAACTTCCAATGATTAAGCTAGATGATAAATTTCGAACTGCATGTGTGGTAATAAGATGCCGTAAATTAAAGAAGAAAACAAATCGAACTTGTTTATTGTATTCACTAATGAAATCAATTTTTGTTAAAAAAAAAAAAACAACTGAAAACAAACAAAACAAAACAAAACATTTACACAACCGGCTGCACAAAATGTGATCTCACTCTCAACCAATCAAACAATTTATCAAATTGACCAATCACAACAYAGCTAACAACAAACAACGCGATAACCACGTCTGCGTATTTCTCACTTAGATAATTTAAGTAAAAGTATATGATGGAAAAGTAGAGTTCGAATGAGAAAAATGCTTATGATTATATCAAAGTATTGAATGACTCCCTAGTATTTTTACTGATGAACTGATACGAATATCTTGGAATACCACAGATACGGCAATAATTCACGTGCTTTTTCAGTCGTCTGCACCCCCAGACTGTCGAATAGTAATTCGCTTGAAA